GAACCAGCTTCCAAGTGAGGTGGTGCAGGCTCCTACCCTGGGGGTTTTTAAGAGGAGGTTGGATGACCACCTTACTGGGGTCGTTTGACCCCAGTGCTCTTCCTGCCGTGGCAGGGGGTCGGACTAGATGATCTACTCAGGTCCCTTCCGACCCTAGAAACTATGAAACTATGACTGCGAGAGAAGCCAGAGCTCCCGGCTTGGAGGAGATCCTCTGCGGGACGCTAGCAGTGTGTGGGCTATGACACAGGGTGGAGCAGTGCCCACTGCCCAGCCTTTGCGTGGCAGGAAATGTGGCGCACGCGGTCTGTTGCCGGCGCTCGGCGCAGGCTGGTCTGTGCGCTGGGGGCTCAGCCACGAGCAACGACGGGAGAGGAGGAGAAGGGCAGACCCGCTCCGGGACACTACCCCTTCCCCAAGGCCCTGGGGGTGTCGGGCCCGGGGAGGAATACGGAAGCTGCAGGCCCAGGCCCTGGGGCGGTCTCCCCCGGCCCAGCACCGCTGGCCCCCCGTTGAGGATCTGCGGTGGGACGGCTGCAGAGAAGGGCGGCCAAGGAGTCAGGAGCTGGGAAGCCCGGCTCACGCGGGGCGTCTGGAGCCTGCTCTGCTTTCTGCTCCCCATCCTGCACGCCCGCCTGTGCTGCTTGTCCCCTGCCTGCTCCGCTGCAGGCCGCACAGGGAGGCTGCCTTGGCCACCCTGGTTTCCAGGAGGCTGCTGGAGGCCGTGGCAGGCCAGGAGCAGGTTTGCTGCAGCCACCCTGGGCTTTTCCCATTCCCCTTCCCTCCCAGCGCCCGCGCGGTGCATCGTGGGAGTTGTAGTGCGCAGGGGGAGGCGGCTGCGTGAGCTTTCTCCTTGCTTCGCCCTCTCTCCCTCTGCGTCCAGGTGCTGATGTTTGCACGGTGCATGGAGGGACCAGCTGCTGCAAGACCCCCGGATGCAGAGACCAGCTGCTACGAGCGGGGAAGAAGGTGGCTCCTGCTTCCAGCCTGGAGACCGCTCAAGTGCCCGCTGCACCTTGGGGAGACCCCAGAGCCACGAGCCGGACACGCTGCTATCCCCCGGGCCTTGGCCGCAGAGGTCACCGCCCTCCCCACCCTGGTCAGGCCCCAGCCGCCGGCGGCTCTGGGCTCTGCAATTTAAGGAGAGGCCAGAGGCGCTCCGAGGTGAGCGACGAAGGGGATGGGGACGAGGCTGGGGTGCAGCCCCGGGCCCGGGGGGTCGGGGCAGTGCTTGGCACGGCTGGAAACCAAGTCGCCTCTGCAAGCTGCTGCCAGGCCCCGACACCTCTAAGCTGGGCCTGGAGACTCGTGGACTCCCCAGTAGCTCCAAAGAGAGTAAAAGCCTCTGTGCCGGGGGCAGCTGGGAAGCAAAACCCACCGCAGATCCTCAACGGGGGGCGAGCGGTGCCGGGCCGGGGAAGACTGCCCCAGGGCCTGGGCCTGCACGAGGCCTGAAATGCCCCCTGCCCACGCAGCGACCCTCCCACCCCGCCACGAAACAGGCCTGTGTCATATCACAAATGATCTTTATTGTCCCGGGTGGTTGTAAACAAGAGCACGGCGCTTCCCCGCCCCGACGGCGCCGGCCGCGCATCCCGGCGGCAAGAGTTCACGTTGCCCGGGTGCCTCTCGCACGCGCGTCCTCTCCAGGATCGTGCAGCTCGGAGGAAGGTGCAGTGCGGCGAGCGGCGGTCCCTGGGCGGGCTGGCCCGTGGGCAGCGCACGGCCTGCCTCCGGCGGGGCAGAAGCATTAGTTAATTCAAGAGTTTCTAGTGCAATGGCTGAGAAAGCAACTCCGATAACCTGAGCCCTTGGATTGTGATAGGCACGGTCTAGTATGCCAGTATTCCCTTTTTATTCCAGTCGCACATACACGTCACAGTTAAACACGCCCGTACCAACGCGGACCGGTCCGTATTATTCAACATGCAGAAAGGATCCTTCATTATTCTCGGTACTAAAACAGACTGAACACGAGAGGGCAGCAAATTACACAGTTGGGGGGAAAAATCTATTGTCTGGAAGAGGGTGGTAATAAATAACAATAAATTAATAAATGATGCATGGATGGCTTAAAAAAAACCCCAACAAAAACCTGGTGTCTCCCCGGCCCGCCCTTTTTTGGGGAGGGTGAAATGACGGAGCTTTTTTCTTTTTTTTTAATGTAGAAAATAACCTTTCTGAGGTCAGCAACGCTGTAGAAAAGCAACCCAAAAACAAAAGGATGGAAGGTTTCAGGTTTTGGTGAGAGAGGGGCTTTTCCTGTAATAAAAACAAATCACAATACCGCGTCTTTACTACGTTTCAAAGCAAATGCGACGCTGGCTCGGTGTCGCGCACACACGCTCCTCCACTCCAGGCACGCTCGCGCAGACGCGCATTTCTTATGGCTAAAAATAAATATATCTCTCTGTATTTTTTTCCCCTTCTGTACATTCAAAAAGTGGAAAAATAAAGGGAGAGCCTCTCACGCACGCCGGGCACCGGGGGTCTGGAAGAGAGACGCCTGCGGGAGGGCTCCCAGTCCGCGATTGTGCAAAAAACAGGCCATGGCACGTGCAAATGAGTCTCCGGAGAAGGCTGAGGAGCTAGACGTCACTCGGAGATCTGGACCGGAAAGGCATCGCGGCGGAGAAGCACCCGCAGCACACGGTCCACAGCACTTTCTGGATCTCTTGGTTGCGGAAGGCATAGATCAGGGGGTTGATCATGGAGTTGTAGGTGGCGGGGAGGACGGTGACGTAGGTGTAGAGGGGCGGGTAGGTGTAGTCGCCCAGGAGGCAATAGGTGGCGAAGGGCAGCCAGCAGCAAGCAAAGGTGCCGAGGATGACGGCCAGCGTGGCGACGCCCTTCCGGGTGGTGACGTAGTGCGAGGTGGCCAGGAAGTGCCTCTGCACGGCGATCTGGTGGGCGTGCCGGCACACGAGCTTGCAGATCTGCGCGTAGAGCTGCAGCATGGCGGCGAAGACCGCGAAGAAGGAGACGGAGAGGATGACGAGGTGGCTCTTCGCCAGAGGCCTGGCGACGCCGCAGGCGGACGCGTCCTTCAGGCAGTTCCAGCCCGCGACGGGCAGCAGGCCGTGGCAGGCCGAGACGGCCCAGGTCAGGGCGAGCATGGCGTAGGTGCGCGTGACCGTGCGCTCCGAGTAGTAGGTCAGCGCGTTGCAGAGGGAGAGGTAGCGGTCCACGGTGATGGCCAGCAGGCTGCCCACGCTGGCCGCGAAGGAGGTCACCAGCAGCCCCACGGTGGCCAGGGCCGCGGCCTGGGACCGGGCGCAGTACGCGAAGGCGAAGTGGGAGACGAGCCCCAGGCCGGCCAGGAGGTCGGCCGTGGCCAGGCTGCCGATGAGCACGAACATGGGCGTGCGGAGGGCCGGCGTGGAGCAGAGGGCGGCCACCACCACGGCGTTCTCGCAGGAGATCACGGCGCCCGACACGCACAGCGCCACGTCCCAGGCGTTGAGGGCGGGCGCGCGCCCCGCCGGGTCCGGGCGCAGC